CACTGCCATGAAGGATTTCCTGGATGTATGTACCTCCTCCCTCCTCTCCCCTTCCTTGCTTTTCTCCCAGTTCCTGGGCTGATAGAAGGAGAGCTGGTCCCCCGTGTGTCCTGTATCCGTCACTGCATCCTGTATCCAACACTGCATCCTGCATCCCACACTGCACATCCACCCCTGTCAGCCCATGGAAATGGGCTACTTTCTTGGCAGGGACACCCACACTGCAGTGATAGTGAGCCAGGGACAGGGAGGGATGGGAGCAATATTTTTCTGCCTGCTCCATGCTGACCTTCATCTCCTTCTTTTCCAGGGTGGGCTGATCAACTTTGAGAAGAGAAGAAAGGTGAGAGCTTTGCCCTGGCAGCTACACAGCAGTGGGGGGAAGGAGAAGACTGACCTGGTGCAAGCCCAGGCTGTGCCAGTCACTTTGGGGTTGATCTCTGTCCTTTTTTACTGCCATGTTCTTCACTTTTGGGGAGGGGATTCTGGTCTTTCATACCTGCCTGCAGTCGTGGGGCTGGGCTGTGTGTGGAGGAGGCTGGGGCTGGCAAACAAATGTGGTCTCATGGCTTCCCTTTGCCACAGGAGTTCGAAGTCATCGCCCAGATCAAGCTGCTTCAGTCAGCCTGCAACAACTACAGCTTCACGCAGGAGGACCAGTTTGTGGACTGGTTCCACAGCCTGGAGCGGCTCAGCGAGGCCGAGAGGTGAGTGAGTGGGGTCTGGGGTCGTTCTGGTGCATCGGGAGGTCCCACCACTCGTCTCCCCTGGCAGCTGTTCCGCGCTCCACTCCCTGCTCTGCCTCCCTGGTGCTCGAGGCAGCACAGGACAAACCCTCCTCTCTCCCTTCCCAGCTACGGGCTGTCGTGTGAGATCGAGCCGCTGTCAGAGTCAGCCAGCAACACTCTGAAGGCGAAGAAGAACACGGGCATCATCAAGCGATGGAGCGAGTGAGTCTGCCTGTCCCATGGGGGAGGTGGGGGCCAGTGCAGGGCACCTCTGGCTGAGGTGGAGGTGGTCCTGCCAGCCACAGGCACCCTCACCCTGCTCCCTTCTGACCTGGCCCACGTCTCCCCTGGCAGCCGGCAGCCACCGAGCACCGAGCCCTGCGCCAGCGGCAGCTCCCACTCGAAATCCTTTGACCAGCTCAAGTGTGGGCAGTACCTGTGCAGTGGGGACACCACCGACTCTGTGAGTGTCACCTCTGCCGGCTCCAGCAGCTCCGACGTGGAGGAGATCAACATCAGCTTCATCCCCGAGTCGCCTGACTGCCAGGAGAAGAAGGTACGTGGCAGCTTTTGAGGTCCACCCGAGGCAGGTGCAGCTGTTGTGTGGGGGCTGCCCCACCTCTGCCCCAGCGCTGGGGCTGGGGGGGCAGGTGGGGGGTCCTGAGGGCTGTTTTTGACCCGCCGGGGTTAGGGAGGCCCCTGCCCTTTGCTGCTCCGGCAGCGTGGCAAGGCTCTCGTGCCTCAGGTGGCTGTAGTTGTGTCGGTCCCCCATTGTCACAGGTCAGTGAGATCCCTCTGGCCTCCCTCCCCCAGCGCTGGTACGCCCCGTCTGTGGCCGATGGAGAAGCTAAACCCACTGTGTCCTCCGCATCCCCTCTCCTCCCTGCCCTCCAGTTCTGGGAATCCACCTCCCTCTCCTCCCTGGACACGTCAGGCATCGGCTCAGGCTCCAGCAGTGCCTCCTCCTCCTCTGTCTCCTCCACGCCGGTGACGGCCTCCCGCACACACAAGCGCTCGGTCTCCGGCATCTCCAGCTACTCCTCACTCTCGCTGCCCCTCTACAACCAGCAGGTCGACGACTGTTGCATCATCCGTGTCAGCCTGGCTGTGGACAACGGCAACATGTACAAGAGCATCCTGGTTAGTACAAGGCCCCATGGTGACAGGGAGGGGTGGCTTGTCCTGCTCGGATAGGGGCATGGCTTGTGTTTGGGGGGAGACACTATTGGGAGGGTTTTGCAGTGTTCTTGGACTGATAAAGCTCTGGGCTCACAGGTGACGAGCCAGGACAAGACCCCGGTGGTTATTCGCAAGGCCATGGCCAAACACAACCTGGACGGGGACCAGCCTGAGGACTACGAGCTCGTTCAGATCATCTCGGAGGAGAGAGGTGCGTGCTGGGGTGGGGGCAGCTTTCCTGGGGCCAGGCAGCCCTGCAGCTTGGGCGGCACCAGGTCGGAGCTGGGCTGGGAAGTGATGGTGAGGGGGACAACTCTCAGGTCCCTTTCAGGGATAGGGTGCCCAACTGACCTCCATCCTTGCTCGCTTTCAGAGCTGAAGATCCCCGACAACGCCAACGTGTTCTACGCCATGAACTCCGCCGCCAACTACGACTTCGTGCTCAAGAAGCGGGGCTTCTCCAAGGGGGTGAAGATCAAGCACGGCTCCAGCTCCACCCTGCCCAGGATGAAGCAGAAGGGCCTGAAGATCGCCAAGGGCATCTTCTAGCCTCAGCCCCACTGCCACCCATCACCGACGGGGCCTTGGGGGCAGGCTGCTCCGGGCTTGGCCGCGGCCGGTCCTTGTGCCGCCCCGCACGGCGAGATGAGCAACCCCTGCCTGGGGGCACGGCCGTGCATCCCCCTCCTCCCGCACCGAGCCGGGCTGTTGGACAACTGGTGTCGGCCTCTGCCTCTCTCTGCACAAGCCCCCATTCCAGTCAGGTCAATTTTTCCTACCCAGGAAGGCAGCAGCAGGGGGATATCTCTATTTTTTTTTGTTTTCTTTTATTTTTTTTAAACCTTCCACGGTGCGACACTCGTCCAGCCCCAGCCAGCCCAGAGCTGGAGCCCGCCTCTGCCGTAGGTGCCTTGTGTCCGAGCGAGCCGGGGAGCGGCGACTCGCAGAGGGGCTGTTGGACAGGAGCAGAGCACGAGCCACCACCCTGGGGCTGCACAGCCTCCCACCCGGAGCAGTGCTCTCCTCCCCAGCTTTCCTGCTGGTTACCTCCACGTCTTTCCTCCCTGGGATAGCCGGCATCGCCACCACCGCACGTCTCCGCCCGTCCTTCCCTTGGGAGAAGCCACGGATGCCTCGGGCTGGGAAGGTGCAGCCCTGTGGAGGAGGGCTGTGTCTGTGCCATGGGGGAGTGGACACCCTGTGCTCTCCACAGCTGGAAGCCTGCGTGGTCTCGCTCCTCTCCCGATCCAGCGCTTCCTCCAGCTGGACTTGGAACGGCCCGTGTTCAAACTTGCACCAAAGATCAAAATGCCAGTGTCTCTTCTGCCGTCGGGGGAAGCTTCAGGCCGTGCCCCCAGCGCTGCCAGCCTAACGAGGGGGAGGAGAGCAAAGTTCTGAACTTGTGTAAATAAGAGATTTTGGGTCTGCGTGGGCGAGCGAGGAGCTGCAGAGCTCAGCATGCTCCGGGTGCCCCGGCTGCCACTGCCTGACCCTCAGAAAGTGCCACTCACCTTGGGCTTTAACCGGACTTTTTCAAACACTGACCATGGGAGAAGCAGCAATGAGACTTTTTTTTGTATAAAACAAAAAGGTTTACTGATTTTTTTTTTTTCAGTATTTATTGGTTGTAAATAGAAGAGGCAAACTTGTACATTTTACTAATCCAGCCTTCCCTGTGCCCTGCAGCCCAGTCCCTCTCCTGTCCCCACCCTGGTATTTAAGGCTGCTGGGAGGGACGTTGGCAGCAGCAGCTTTGCCCTGCTGTGCTCATGGGGTGCAGACCCCGCCAGTCCCCCCCTCCCAAATTTCTACCGCTAGTTGCTTGAGCAGGGGCAGTTGCTTGTTTTAAATCATTGTAGGAAACACTAACCAAAGGGGGACCTTTTGTTGCTCCTGGCTCTATCTCTGTTTTTTAAGCGCTTCATTCCAGCAGATCTTTTCCTCTTTCCCGTCCGTCGGAGCTGCCTGGTGGGTGGGGTGCCTTCCTCGGCTCCAGGAGAAGGACCACGCTCCAGGGGCCAGGGCTGGTGACAGGAGCTGGGCTGCAGGTCCCTGGCACCAGGTGGGGAAGAGGCTGCTTGGGGTGTGAGTGTGGCTTCCCCAGCCCCCTGTCCCCACTGCCCATTGCTGCACATGATGGGAGCTCCCAGCTCCCTGACGCAGGGGCAGCCTCCTGCCTCCCACCCTGCCCAAAACTCAGCCCCTTCCCTCGGACACCAAATTCCCTCTGCCAGCTCCTGCCCACCCTGGGACTGTCCCCTCCCCTCCCACCAGTGTCCCCAGCAGCCCAGTGTCACTGGAGGGACTGGCTGTACCATATGTATTTTGTACCACTTCAATGAAGGACACACTGCCGGGTGTGACTTGTACACAGCAATGTAATTAGTCTTTGCAATAAAATACTGATGCTCAAATGTCTCTGCCCAAAGGCAGGCCTTGGCCTGGCCTCCTTCCCCCAAATGCCAGCAGCTTCCTGGAGAAAGGGGTGGATCTGACTGGGGTGGGGGGAAGTTCGTACCTTACGTTCACCCTGCTGAGTTGAGCTTTGTTTTGTGTTTGAACAGAAAACCAGGCTTTTTGTTTGAGGGCCCAGGGCATGATTTTCAAATGAACCTTATTCATTTGAACCTGGGAGTTGGGCCTGTTGCATTTTCCAGTGTCAATTTGCTGATTTTACTCCTTTTGTTACAAGCAGTGGCTTTAAGAGCAAATGCACCAGTCCTTAGGGTTGGAGAGAGGGATCTGCCTGGCTTTGAGGCATCATTCCTCAATGCAGGAGGACGAGGAGGAGGCCTTACTCCTCCTGTTACAAAGGAAAGCTTGGCTTCAGGTGTGCTTGTAACACATTGGGGAATGCACAAGACCCAGAAAATGCCAGCAGATCTTTAATTTCTGTGCCCAGGTGGGAACATTCCAGCTGGCAGTGCCAGACTAGTGGCCAGACACAGTGAATGTAGAGCTCTGCCCCTTTGCCAGCTGCCTTCAGTCCTTGTTTACTGGGGAAGTCAAAACAGGACTGAGAAGTGCATCAGCTAGTGAGGACAACATCCACTACATCCCAGGAAGGGAATTATTCATTATTCACAATCAGACTGTGTTTTACTGCTGGCTTTATTTCCAAGAGGGCTGGCAATGCTCAGTGCTGAAGGCAGGCACAGTATTTTCGTTCCCTTTGGACAAGCAGAAGGGCAGAACCTGCCTTAGGGGCTCCAGTAACACTGGAATGCTTCTTCCAGCATCTCCTCAGGCACCTTTTCCATTTTCCACACAGCCACCAACCTGGACAGAGTGCAATTCCCACACGTGGAGAGATCTGGAAATGCAGCTTCTCCTCTATCCTGGTGTATTACCAGCTGGTTTGGACTCTGGGCTCACTCTGGGGTGTTTGCTGAGCTTGCTGGAGGCTTTCTTAGCCAGCAATTATGAAAATGTAGGCAAAGACTCCCAAACATCCATGGCCACGAGCAGTCAGTGCAGAGAGAGTGGCATCATCATAGTACAAGCTCTGCTTTCCCAGATCCTGGGCATGGATCTGAACCCTCAGCTCTCAAGGAGCAAGAGACAATTCTGGCCACAGCAGCCAGTTCACACATAGTCCAGTATCTCTGTCTCCATTTCATTTTCACTCCCATCAGAAGGCTTGAAATCTTCTTCCTCCTCCTCTTCATCCTCCTCATCCTCTCCAGACTCGTATGCCAGCTGCTCTTTGCAGTCTTCACTGCTTGTTGTATTTGAGAAAAGAGCTTAATTGGGAAGAAAGAAAGAAGGACAATGTGATGCCTCTCTCAGTGAAACCTGGGGGCATTTGCAGTGGAGTTCACACAACATGTGAGAGGAAGGCAGAAGCTGCAGGGGCACAGCTAATGTTGCACATCTCAATAGAATTTGATCAAGCCCAAAGCAATCCTTTTCATTCTCCAGGAAAGCAAGCAGAACAGCAGCAGAGCTGCAGTGCTGTGCCTCGTCTCCCAGCTCATTCTGACCTAATTCACGGGGATATTATTGCTTTGGCCCAGCATCGTGCACAAACAACTTCCTCACTTCTTATTCAATCAGTAATGTCAATAAAAAGTAAAATGTCACCAACAGATACATCAGTAAGAATAAGATTTTGATTATCACTGTGCAAAGACATTGAAAACCTGAAGGCTGTGACACTGGGAAGATGAAATAGAAAACCTTTACTTCCAGTCATTCCTAATGCCAACCCACATTCACACTGCAGAACAGCCTCAGCTACAACACAAAGAACACGAGGGGTAGCATAAAGGAGGAGGCAGATACAGGAAAGCCTCTGCCCCAGTGCTGACTTCACCATCCTCCCCTCAGCCCACAACATCTCCACACCATCAGGAAGGCAGTAAAAGAGATGTCCAAAGCATCCTTACCAGGCCTTGTGGATCTGATGATCTGCTTTATCATCAGGGACATGCTGTCCCTCAGGTCATCACTGGTCTTGGGGAGGCACCACCCGTCCCGCTCCGTGCACTCCGACTCTGTGCCATCATTCCTGTGGATGATCTTCTGCAGGCTGAAAACGCAGCAAAAGGGAAGGAGACATTAGTCTTCTGCACTCAGGTGTGGGCTTTAAATGAGGCAGGCAATGGCTTAGTGCCATTTCACTGAGCTGGAATAGCATAGTTGGTTATCCGGGTAATTGTCATATGGGAAAGGAATTTAATGTGTGAAAAGTCTGTTCTGCTTTTATTCAGAAGTTAAAAACCTCTGACATTCCTGGTCAAGGGGAGAGGGGTGAGTGGACAGGGTACAAGCAAGAGGCTTTGAAATCTGTCTCTAACACAACCACACAACAGCCAGTGTGCAATACCTCTCCACATTCAAGTCACAGAGCTGGTAGAACATCTGTCGATATGGGGGTAAAGCTCCTTCTCGGAAAATGTAGATGGATTCCTAGAAGAAGGAAAGAAGGAAAGGATTCATGTGCATTTTATGGTGTAACAGGACAGCTCTGGGGGAACTGAAAGGTACTTCTGATGGGCTGATTAAAGAACAAGGCACTTCCAACACAAATCAGTTCTAAGGAATGTCTGCATGTGGATGAGGAATGCCCCAAAATTTCCCTGCAGCCATAGAACCAACAGCACTGCTGCGCAGAGAGCACACTTCACCTCTTCAACCTGCAGCCTGTCACTGCATAACACTGCATCAGGGGTTTTATTCTAGCAAAAATGGAGGAGCAAGACTCATTTATTTATTCCACCCTGCTGGATTTTGCAGCATGACCTGATAAAAGACAGTGATTTTTTGCATTGCGCCGCCCATGAAGTTCCAGTGTTATCAATTGAAGCCAAATGCTCCTCACACCTCACACTGGGGCTGAGAGCACCAATCCCACCTCGTAGCATGTAAGAAATACACTCAGTGCACAGCAGGTGAAGTGCTGGAGTGCCAGGAACAAACAGCAGCTTCCCAGGCAAACCTGAGGACATCAGCTCGCTCACAGCTGTCCCCCTGACGACTGATAAACCAGGAAACATCCCCATTTCACTGAGCTACTTCTAGAGTAAACAGGAGTCATGCTTACCTTCAGTTTATACCTGCTGGAGGGGGGCTTTTTTGCCCCAGATGCACCAGCTGTACCCAGCCCCTGTTTGAGGTCGTGGACACTGACTGTGTGACTGACTGAAAGGAAGAACAAAGTCCTGTTAGGTACAACCTTGGACTGTCACTTCTCTCTGTTGATTCAACAAAACCAGACCAACCCAGCAACTATGGCTGCATGGGTTTTGTTCATTCTTCAGAGATGCCACTGGGCAGTAACAGGGAAAGTGCTGGTTTGTCGTGTTTTTCCACAGCGTAATTGTTCATAATTTTAACCTTTTCTACTCTCCCTTGGCAAAGAAAAGAGAACTTCCCTCTTCTCTGCACCATCACCACTCATTCTGAGCACAGAACTCCCTCCTGCCTGCTAACAGACACTATGGCTCAGCCAGACATGCTTCAAAGACTCCCACACCACTTCCCAGCAGGAGAAAACAAGCTCCATCTCTGGCTCAGCTAGAACAGAGGAAGACCCTTCATCATCTGTGACAGGGTGGGGTACACACAGACCCAGAAGACCAGGCAGCCCTTCTGCTGGCCCAGCATACCTTGTTTCTTGACAGTGATGGGCAGGCTGTAGTTGTAGGTGCTGCGTTTTGCTTTCACAGGCATGTCATTAGGGGCATAACCTAGAGGGGGAAAAGGAAAACCAGTAATGAACTGAGGGCAAGCACCCTGCAGAATATCCCTGGCTCAGTAACACAAGGGCTGGTGTGGGAAAGGCAGGCTGGTCTTTGGGATATGCTGACTTTAGCAAGGCTGGGAGAAGAGATCAATAAAACCCTTTAACTTGGAAAGAAAACGTGACCTGATGTCAATGAGTGGATGCCAGCCCTTTCATGGACTTATTAGATGTCAGAAACTCCTTTTCCTCAACTTGCCCTCTGCAAAATCAGAGCAGGGGTACCCCCGTGTCTAAGGTCTGAGACCCAAAATCCTGCACAGGATGCTGAGGTCCTTAAGGGAAAGCTACTATGGAAGCACCAGAATTCTTGCTCAGTGCCTCCCTGAGCAAAGGGGAGGATGGTCTGCTACACCCACTTGGGCTTGGGACACACGGAGGAGGAAAGTCAAGAGTTTGGAATGTGCCAAATGAGGAAAGACATATTGCATACTATGAAATAAAGTGTTAAAGGAGTTTAGAGACAACTACAGTAAGCAAGGAGCTCAAAAAACCAGACATCATCAGAGCAGAAATATGGCAAAAGAGTTTGAAAGACACATAAAAAGAAAAGTACTACCAGGATTAACCAGAAAGCAGAGAGAGCAGCTCTGTGGGTTGGGCCCTTTTACCATATTTCATTCCACAGCGAATTCGGAAGTCCAGTACTTGATAAATCTTTGCTTCAGGGTGTTTTCTGGGGTCATACCCAAACCTAACCCATAAGCTTCTCCAGGGACCTGTCAACTGCATAAACACACATGGGGGAAGATGGTTACAGAAAAGCAGCACAGTGTTGCACTTTCTTCAGTACAGGGGTGCAAAGGTTCTTGGAAAGTTCTAATATTCCCCTCACTGCCCAAAGATTATTTCTTTTCCCAGCTCTTTCCTCACTTTTGTGCCAGTATTTATTTGTACCCACTGGAACATGGGCAATCAGTGCATCAAAACACAAATATTTGTGTGCTTTTATGAACTAACCTGCAAGGTCACAGTCAGGTGTTTCTGTGGAAAAAATTCTGCTACGATATCCAGGTGGACAATCACTTGGGGTGTCTGACTGACCTGCAAAGCTGATCAGAACCAGTGGAGCAAACAGTTACTGAGTCCTCCTTGGCTTTAACTTCTGTTCCAAAGCCAGGCTTTCCTTCCCTCTATCTCTTTACATAATATTAAGCTCAGGTACTTAGTGGTAGGACCTCAGAGGTGGTGAAGGAGCAGGAACACCCAGCTGCTGCTCCCCTGCTCACAGTTGTGCCACTCACCATGTAATAGGCCAGGTATGGCAGCAGCAGCTTCAGCTTCTCCGGGTGGACACCGATGTTGGCTTTGACTGCATTCCGGGACCAGACAGGGCGGACTTCAAAGAGCTAAAATGACACAGAAACAACCACAGAACAGTGGGAAGGGGGTCACCAATGGCAGAGCAGCTTTCCAAGTGGATTTAGTTCAGTATCAGTGCCTTTAGCCCCTCAGTATGAGCTGCTGGGACAGCAATGGAAGAACTCGTGGCACAAAAACGAACTTAACTGAGTCACCTACAGATTCAAATCTTGATTTGCAGAACTGAACTGAACACAGCAGTGTCAGCAGCATCTACTGAAACCTGCTGTATCAGTCAGTTAAAATCACCAAGAATTTCTGAGGAATTCAGAGAAAATGCAGTTTTTCCTCCAGAGGTTGCTGCAGCACAGTGCTCAGGTCAGGAATAAGGCACCCACCTTTCTCAGCTCCTCCTCCACCTTTTTATCCACAGGATTGTTGCACACTTTCTTCCAGGTCTGTACAGCAGCATCCAGTGGTTTAGCTGGGATTTCCTCATCATCAAAGTTCACAAAGATGGCATTGTGTGGGCGACGGGCCCTGCTGAGGCCAATCAGGTGCTCCCCAGACACCTGGGGGTTGCTGTATCCCTCCCTAAGGAACAGGGAAAGGCAGGAGGGACTCAGTCAGGTGAGCAACGGGCTGGTTTAACTTTGGTTTAACCTCCCTCATCACATCCTGGTACCATGAAAGGCTCTCATGACACCACTGAGGAAAGAACATTAATATTAAAGATACCCTTCCAAGCTGCATCCAGTTGCACACTGACAGAGGTGCTCTGGCACAAAACACCTCAGGCACCTGGGCCTGATCTGCATGAAATGTATTTGAGCACTAAAGGCTTCACCCTCTGCATTTGCCCTCCTGCAGCTACTGCAGCTACTCAGTGATGCAGGGGCAAAGCAATAAGGGAAATGCAGATAACAGCTCAATCTAGAAATTCCTTTTCCTTTAAAAGGTGCAGATGAAGGACACCGGTGAGAAAATGAAAGATGTTTCTTGTGGGAGATCTCACAGATTGTTCTTCTGGCAAAACCAACCGGGGCCAGGCAGCCACAGGTGACAGGAACACGTGGCATTGTCTCCTGCAAACCCTGCCCTCTGGGAGCAGGCAGGAAGGTGTCCCTGCATCCCACATGGTGTGAGGTGTGCTGGGAGAGCACCAGTCATCTTCAGCTTAAAAAGGTGACATTCATGAATGATGTAAAGGCACTGACCTGTGCTGAATATCTGGACGATAAAAATAGTCAATGGGAGTGTCCAGGCGCGAGAAAATTGGTGGGGGGATGTAAAGAGGTAATTCCCTGTTGAAAAACTCTTCCTTCTCTGGTTTGAGCATCAGGACTTTGTCATACATGGAGGTTGGTTTGCCATCAGGACCAGAGTGCATTGCCAGGTACTGGAAATCAGACATTCCTGGGAGAAACAGAAGTTAAAACACTGTGGAGTTCACTATTTATATGAATATTTATATTATTATAATACATCACAATATAATACAATATATATAATTCTATATAATATACTATATATACAATATACTATAATAATATATCTTACAATATATTATATAATATTATAAATATAAAAATATTAATTATATCAGAATATTTAACAATATTTCTCACACTAACATTTCAGGAGCAAGAGTCTGCTAAGTTTATGCAAAGGTTTATATAGCAAAAACACTTGATTTTCCTTCCAGTTCTGAGTTGTTTAAAGGCAAACACTTCCCTTTCCCATCAAACATCCTCATCTCTAAGCCACACGGACACAAACCCAAGCATTTTACCTTGAAATTTGTAAACAGTGGTGACAATCCCAAGGATCTCCATCTCAAACTGGACTTCTGGCTGGGTTTGTTCCTCGGTGTCCAGCTGCTGCTTCTTCCTGCTCCTCCTCCTCCTGACCCTGAGCAGCATGGTGGAGGTGGGGAAGCGGTTGGCACACACGGGGTGGCAATAGGGGTCCTTGGGGCGAAAATACAGCTCCAGCCTCTTGGCAGGGTCTGCGTAGATCTGTCAGCAAGGGCAGACACAGCTCTGTGAGCATCCCACCCACACAGCCCCTCTGCCTGTGCCAGCCCCACACACTGCCACCCCTGCCCCGCCAACACGTGGGATTTGCAGCTGCTCCCATCCCGGGTACTAGGAATAAATAAATAAATGAGAGAGATAATATCCTGGATATTAGGAGGAAATCCTTCCCTGTGAGGGTCGGGAGGCCCTGGCACAGGTTGCCCAGAGAAGCTGTGGCTGCCCCATCCCTGGAAGTGCCCAAGGCTAGGTTGGACGGGGCTTGGAGCAACCTGGGCTGGTGGAAGGTGTCCCTTGCCCGTGGCAGGGGGGTGGAACGAGATAGCCTTTAAAGTCCTTCCAACCCAAACCATTCTGGAGCTTTACGATCGCGCCCGACACCTCACAAATCCCTGCTCGGGGGGCACCGCCTCACCCACCTCCCCGGGACCAGGCCCGGGGTGCCCCCCCCCCCCCCCCCCCCCCCCCCCCCCCCCCCCCCCCCCCCCCCCCCCCCCCCCCCCCCCCCCCCCCCCCCCCCCCCCCCCCCACCTGCCCCACAGCCCCGCTCACCCGCGACACGCCCTGCTCTCCTCCCAGCGTGCTCAGCATGGCCCCGATGTCCCGCACCAGCCCCGGGTACTCCACACACACGAGGCGCGGCGCCCGGGGCAGCTCCAGCACGGCCGAGCCCGACAGCGGCCCCGCCGCCATGGCCGCGCCGCCGCCCCCCGCGCCCCGCACCGCGGCACGAAGGTTCCGCCGCACGGAGGTTCCGGCAGGGCCCTCCTGAGGGCGAAGGGCGAGCCCTGAGGGCGGCCGCGAACTCCTTCGAGCCCGTGGCCCTAAACCCGCGCAGGATCGCCGCCCCCGTGGGGTGTTCTGTCCCCCGTCCTGCCCCGAGTTAAAAGGGGAATGAAGGAAAGGAATCCCACAGGGCCGAGAGCCCTCGGTACTGAGCACACACTCAGGCAGCTCACACAAACACCCTTTCGCTTGTGCTGCGTGAAAGTCACGCCGGTGACTGCTGGAGAGTGTTTTGGAGTCATGAGTTTTGAAGTTACGCAAGGAATCTGTTGTCAATTCCCGTTAAAATAAGCCTTTGGTTCCTAAGAACTTAAGCCTTCATCCCACCAGTGTTCGGTGCCGCGGGAGGTGGCAGACGAAGGGTATGAGGAGTTAATTTAAGCTGAGGAGTTAATTTGCCCCAGGAGCTGCTTGCCCAGGACATGGCTGGGTTATGGATCAGGGGACATTCACTGACCACAGATGTCCCTTCCTTCCTGACCTTAACGTTAGCGACAAAATCCTGTCACAGCCGACAAAAGGAGAATCAGGCTCTCAGTTACAAGCAAGGTTTTAATGAACTATCTCTAAAAGGTGATTTTTATTAGGTTCAGAACATTAACTCCGACTGGGTGATGTTGGCAACCTGTGGCAGGCTCCGATAGACCGAGTTCCAGAAGGTCACAAACCGGGATCTCAGGTCCTTCTTCACCGACTTCTTGTTCATCTTGTTGTTGATCTCCAGGTAGTAAGCGCCCTTGCTGCTGTAGGCTGGCCAGGAAACGGGCACGTCCGAATTCCCTTTGTTGGGATCACTGGAGAAAAAAGGAGTCACACACAAGTTCAGTTTTATCTGGGCAGCTTGGGGACCCAGCGGTTTTGAGACATTTGGCCACAACCTGTCTGTTCAAGTGAGGTTTTAAGTGAGAGCAAAGAGAGTCTGACACTGGCACAAGCAATAGGAATTCACACAGAGGCTTAATTCCTGGTATTCCAGTTATCAATACCTGGATTCAGGAATGCACCCCATCATTAAGTGTAAGCAGAGTTCACAAGCTCTGAAAATGCTCCTCCTCTCCTCAGGCGTGTTATGGATGAGGAGGACCCAGAGCAAACTCCACCACTGGGAGACACAGAGCCCAGCTCAGAACAGAATTACAGGCAGAGAACACTCTGCTTTGGGGAATGATCCTGAGAAGTTACTGGACAAAGGCAGCAGGCTGAAGGGTCACAGCAAACCACAAATGTGGAACAGGAATCACTCACCCAGTCCTGGCAAAGTTGGTCCAGTAAGCGATCATGGCCTTGGAGACAGTCCTGTGCTTGGGCAGGTAGCCCAGAGGAGTGGCAAAGGGCTTGCCAAAGACGTACTGCAGGTCATCAGCGTGGTCTGCCCCAACCCAGCTGGGGTAGATGGGCATGCGGGACGGCTGGGAGAACAAGTAGCTGTATGTCTTGCCACTCCTGGGGAAATAAAACAGACTGGCTAAGCAAGGGGAGAGCAGAGGAAGGGCTGCAGATTCATAACCACGTTCCAAATACCATCAGGGCCAGAGTTTCAGCTGTAGGAGATGCTCACATGCATCACCTCACATGAGGTGGTCTGAGGAGGAAACATCCTTGGGTCATTTTGGACTCTCACCCTCACCCTCTACCCCCCACCTGCAGTGTCTCCAGGGCAGAGCTGCTCACCGGGCGTTCTGCAGGTGCAGATTCAGGGCCCACTGGGTGGGAACCAGGAAGATGTAGTCAGTGATCAGGTCCACCACTGTCCTCTTCATGACCTCCTGCTTCGGGTTCTCCTCCCAGCTCTGGGTGTAGATACCGTACGTGGCGTTGGCTCCGGCCTCACCCCTGTCCACGGTCAGCCCTTTGATCAAATCATAGACCTGTTCCCTGAAAAGACAAGTGATATCAACTACTTACTGACCAGCAGCTTCCAGTGGGGCAGGCCCATTGCCTAGCTCTTTCTCTTGAAGGCTCTGGGCTCAGCAACACAAGCCCTGGGCACCCAGGCTCGGAGTGACAGCCTGTTTTGGAGGTCGAGCCCTGTCTGCTCAAGTCCAAGTGCTCAGAGTTTGGGAGCCACATTAAAGAGAAGATCCCTCCTGCTGAGGGTTTTCAGAGCCTCTCCCACTCACGCAGAGATTTTCCTCAGTGGGCCATTGATGGCGGGTAAATCCAC